ATCTAAACACCAATGAGTATAGTCCCAGAGTCCTCAAACGTTCCTCATATGTTAAGCTTTCCATTCCTGAGGCCATTCTCGTGAACCTCCTCTGAACCCGCTCCAGGGCCAGTACATCCTTCCTGAGATATGGGGCCCAAAACTGCACACAATAATCCAAATGTGGCCTGACCAGAGCCTTATAAAGCCTCAGTAGTGCATCCCTACATTCAAGTCCTCTCAAACTAAATGACAACATTGCATTTGCCTTCCTGACTACTGACTCAACCTGCAAGTTTACCTTGAGAGAATCCTGGACTAGAACTCCCAAGTCTCTTTGCACTTCAGACTTCTGAATTTTCTCCCCATTTAGAAAATAGTCCATGCTTTTATTCTTCTTACCAAAGTGCATGACCTCACACTTCCCCACATTGTATTCCATCTGCCACTTCTTTGCCCACTCTCCTAACCTGTCCAAATCTTTCTGAAGCCTTGCTACCTCCTCAATACTACCTGTCCCTCCCTCTTTGTATCATCTCCAAACTTAGCCAGAATGCCCACAGTTCCTTCACCTGGATCATTAATGTACAATGTGAAAAGTGGCAGTCCCAGCACTGATCCTTGCGGAACACCACTTGTCACTGGCTGCCATCCTGAGAAAGACCCCTTTATCCCCACTCTCTGCTTTCTGCACTAAATGTGTTTCAATCAAATGGTTCTACAATGGTCCAGGGTCGATTACTGATGCTGGCAAATTTAATATTGACCTTGCTCTTTGTGCACCTTCTCTACAGCTCTAACATTGTGTTCCTCACTTTGTTCTATTACCCTTAAGCACTTTGCATGGTGCAATCTGCGCGTACTGCATGCAAAACAAAATTCGTCAGTGTGCCTAAGTATGGTGAAAAGCTTTGTTTACGAGCAGTACAGGCAGATCATAGTGAGCAAGGACAAACAGATCATAGGGTGGAAAAAAACTTGGACGGAGGTGTACAGGTTACAGGGCGTGCGCCAGGCAAGATCAACATTAGCAAGATCAGCATTATTTGAAGTTAGAGAGTCCATTCATCAGTCTAATAATAGCAGGGCGGAAGCTGTTCTTGAACTTACTGGTGCATGAGTTCAAGCTTCTGCAACTTCTGCCTGATAGAGGTTGTAGGAGAAAATTGCTGGAGTGCGATGGGTCTTTGATGATGTTAACAGCCTTTCTGCGGCAATGGGCCATGTAAAAAGAGTCCATGGATGGGAGGTTGGTTTCCGTGATGGTCTGGGCTGTGCACACAAACTTCTGTAGTTTCATACGGTCCTGGGCAGAGCAGTTGCCGTACCAGGCCATTATGCACCCAAACCGTATGCTTTCAGTGGTGCATCTATAAAAGTTGGTGAGGGACATTGTGGACATGCCAAATTTCCTGAGCCACCTGAGGAAGAAGAGGCATTGTTTTGCCTTCTTGACCGTTGTGTGTGTGTCAAGGAAGTAGTCCTCAGTCAAGACAAGGGAAACAACCTTCAGTCAGGGGGTCCCAGCACAGTAACTTAAGGGCAGCCACTGATTTCAGTCCAGGGGTCAAGACATCGTCACTCAGCAGCTTGGGGCACTCAGGGGTTCCATATCATGACATTCAGCAGAGTCTACCACTGTCAGTCTAGTAGGTCCAGGACAACCAATCTTGGGATTTAGGTGGGGAGGCAATGGCCTAGTGGTATTATCGCTGGACTGTTAATCCAGAGACCCAGACAATGTTCTGGGGACCTGGGTTCGAATCCCACCACGGCAGATGGTCGGATTTGAATTTAATAAATGCCTGGAATTAAGGGTCTAATGATGACCATGAATCCATTATCGATTGTTGGGAAAAACCCATCTGGTTCACTAATCTCCTTTTAGGGGAGGAAACTGCCATCCTTACCTGGTCTGGCCTATGTGTGACTCCAGACACACAGCAGTATGGTTGACTCTTAACTGCCCTCTGGGCAATTGGGGATGGGCAATAAATGCTGCCTAGCCAGCAACACCCTCATCCCTTGAATGAATTTTAAAAAAAAGTAAGTCATTTGGGGAACAACAAAGAGATCAGTCAGGGGTCTGGTCAGTCATCATTTGGGACTGTCAATGGATAGCCCATAGTCCATCCTCTGGTTTGTCCACTAAAGATCAAGACAGGAGAACAGGGAGCAAGTGCTCTGGTAGGGAAGCTGGGGAACTGGATAGTGGGAATTAGAGGCAGCATGCTGGGGTGCAGAGGGGAAAACAGCTGTGTATGGGTAACTGAACATATAAGGAAGAGAAATGATGGCGAATGGGAGGGAAAGTAGCAATGCAGGAGGAGGCTTTATTGACAGTCAGCACCACTTTGGATTTGATGGACTGACTGTGCATTTCTACGTCTGGCACAATGATGCAGTATGCCTGGGGCCCAGGGGTAAGACGGAGGTGAACCCCTTTCTTAAAAAAAAGGTTGGGTGGGAATGTCGGGAAGATCAAAGCTGATGGGATTGACAGGCAGAGCAACCAAGAAGGGAATTTGAAGATTCAAGGTATCCCCTACAGTGACTGACTGAGTCTATGACTCACTCCGTGAATAGTGACTGCTGCCCTTGCAGCATAGCTAAAAAGGCAAGTTTCAGAGAATAGTGTGAGAAATCTCAATAGGACTCCCCGAGAGAAACCATCCATGAAACTCACCAAAATTGACAGACAATTTTTTGTAAACTTTGTCCCCATGTCCTTGTCGTTATTTCCACCCATTTCTGCCACATCCAAGAGTTCTGCCAACTCTGGCCTCTCGTCCTGCAAAGCTTCACATGGAGTATCGGGAAAGTGAACAGATTACTTATAGGTTGTTATAGGTTTTCAACCATCATCTGGGGCTTCCCTTGCAGAATAAACAGTTCATACAAAATTTAGTGTAGTAGAACTAAAATGCTGCAATAAAAGAAATTACTCGTGAATTGGAGCTTTCATAGCAGAGGTTAAAATATGTTTTGTATGTGACCTGAATTACCACTCAAAGTCTGTTTGCTACAAGACTTTTGGGCTGTATTCTGAATTTTTTGTTGATCTGACCCTCATTCACATTCTTTGGAGAGCTATTGGTTTGTGTCTCTTCCCTTCCTCATTCACGTTTCTCATTTGCAGGTTATTAGTACTGCAGCAGTGCTGTCATGTAGCATTGTTCTTGCGGGCTCGTCATTGATGTTACTGAGTCGGAAGAGGCATGATAATGCTTACCAGATACTACAGCGTGACTCTATTTCCAGCAATACCAGTGAGGATCCTAGCCGAACAACAGCTACAAATGTTACTCCTGATGTAGAATTTGCAACTGGAGACGGTGATGGTCTGTTTGATTTAAATAACATGAAATGACAGATGTAGATTTATTCTCATTTTCCCCCTCAAGATACTATGTGCTCTTTATTTTCTAATTAAACAAAGATAGTATGCGTTGCTTCCCTGTATCTCACCTGTGTTCCGCAGAGGGTTTGCATTTTGTTTCTTTATTCACATTAGTATATTTAGCAGAATGTTGAATTTTAGGATTGACCTTAAAATCATTGAAGCTGGTAGGTTGAATGAGCATTTAGAGATGATCATTTAGTGATGCTGACTCAACACATAATCCCAGACATTATACAATATGGTCAATAGTAGTCAACACAAAAATAAGCTAAATTGGCTTGATACAGTAATATGTGGTGTTGCCTTTGACAACAAACACATTTGACATGTAAACTCCTACAAACAGCAATGTGACAATTACAAGGTGATCTGCTTTGATTGAGGGGTACATATTGACCAGTCATCAGGAATAACTCTCCTGATAGTCTTGAAGGTAATGAGATGGAATCATTTATATCCACCTGCTAGAGCAGATGGGCTCTCTGTTTAACATATCTGAATGTTGACATCTTTAACAGTGTGTTGAAAGGTGAATCCTTGCCACAGCTTGTAATGGTATAATTTACATCTTGAATTGCTACCACTATCCCCTTTCCTGGTAAGGATCTAAAGGGCCTACTTTGTCTAGTGTGATAGAGAAAATCTAGTAACTAATAGTCTAATGAGAAGTAACTTTTGCCTTAAACAAGATGTAGTTTATTGCGTGATATTGGGAGCAAGGTATGTTGTTATAATAGATATTATTACTGAGACCACAAAAGAAACATAGAAACATAGACATTAGGAGCAGGAGTAGGCCATTTGACCCATCGAACCTGCTCTGCCATTCATTATGATCATGCTGATCATCCAGCTCCAACATAGTATAGCATACGTACTCCATACAGCATACTCCATAGTCTGTTCCCGTCTTTCCCCCCAATATCCTTTGATCCCTTTAGCCCCAGGTTTTATATCCATATAATGTTTTGGCCTCGACTACCCTCTGTGGTAGCAAATTCGTCCGGTTCACCACTCTCTGGATGAAGAAATTTCTCCTCCTCTCAGTCCTAAATGGTTTACCCCATATTTTTACACTGTGACCCCTGATTCTGGACTCCCATGGCCATCAGGAACATTTAATCCTGCATCTACCCTGCCTAGTCCTGTTAGAATTTTATAGGCTTTCAGATTCTCCATTCATTCTTTTAAACTCCAAACATAATCCTAACTGCTTCAATCTCTTCTCATGCATCAGTCCCACCATCCCAGGGATCAGCATTCCCTCACCAAGGCCATGTACAATTGCAGCAAGACATTCCTGCTCCTGTACTTGAACCCACTCGCTATGAAGACCAACAAATAATTTGCTGCTGCATTTGGTGTACAAGGATGCTCAGATCTCGTTGCACATTTCCCTCTCTCAATTTATAGCCATTCAGATAATCATCTGTCTTCCTGCTTTTGCAACCGAAGTAGGTAACCTCACATTTATCCACACGTACTGCATCTGCCGCGCATTTGCCTAATCACTGTGCTTGTCCAAATCACGCTGAAGCATTTCCACATCCTCCTCAAAGCTCCTCTTCCCACCCAGTTTTGTGTCTTCTGCAAATTTGGAGATGTTACGTTTAGTTCCCTCATCTAAATCATAAATATATATTGTGAATATCTGGGGTCCTAGCACTGATCCCGTGGTACACACCAGTCACTGCCTGCCATTTGGAGAACGATCCATTTATTCTCACGTTTTGTTTCCTGTCTGCCAACTAATTTTCTATCCATCTCAATACACTGCCCCCAATCCCATCTTTAATTCTACACACGAATCTCTTAAGTGGAACTTTGTTGAAAACCTTCTGAAGGTCAACTCTGAGTTATGTCCTCGAACAATTCTGACAGAGATGTCAAGCATCATTTTCATTTCATAAATGTCTAATCCTGTCGCTATTTTTCCTAAGCGCTCTGCAATTAAATCTTTAATAATGGACTTGAGCATGTTCTTCATTAATGACTTCAGGCTGGCTTGTCTTTAATTCCCAGTTTTCTCTCTACCTTCCTTTTCAAAAGTAGAGGGATTACGTTAGCTAACCTCTATGCTGTATTATCTTTCTAGAGCCTATCGAATCCCCTATTTCTAGGGCCACTTTCTTAAGTACTCTGGGATGTAGATCATTAGGCATTGTGGATTTATTGGCTTTCAGTCCCAACACCATTTCCCTAATAATATGAATTTCCTTCAGTTCCTCTCTCACTAAACCCTGCGTTCCCCAGCATTCATATGATATTTGTGTCCTCCTTTGTAAACACAGAAATATAAATTTAATTGGGTCAGCGATTTCTTTGTTTCCCCCTTTATAAATTCCCTTGTTTCTATCTGTAGGGGAAACCTACATTAGTCTTCACTAACCTTTTTCTCTTCACATACCTATAGTAACTTCTGTGTTGGTTTTTATGATCCCACAAGCTTAACCTCAAACTTTTTTTTTGCAATCAATCCCTTAGGCCTCTCTTGCTGAATTCTAAACTGCTCCCGCTCCTCAGATCTGATTTTTTTTTCTGGCTAATTTGTATGCCTCTTGGATCTAATACTATCTCTAATTTTTGTGGTTTGGTGAACTTTTTACTTTTTTGCCAGACCAGAATAAACAATTGCCGTTAGATGTAGGAGCAGAATTAGGCCATTTGGCCAATTCAGTCTGCTCCACAGTTCGATCATGGCTGACATGTTTCTCAACCTCTTTCTCCTGTCTTCTCCCTGTAATTATTGCGTGAACTCTTTGAATGTTTGCCATTGCCTTTCCACCATCATGCCTTTGAGTAATTTTCCCCATTCTATCACAGCTAAGTCACACTTCACGCCGAAGTAGTTTCCTCCATTTAGACTCAGGACCCTTGTCTCTGAATCATCCACATCACTGTCTATCTTGATGAGGAATTCTGTCAAATTATGGTCACTCAATGCCAGGGGCCTCACACAGCTTGATTGCTGATTATTTCTTTCTCATTACACAATACCTAATCTAGGATGACCTGTTCTCTAGTTGGTTTTCAATTTATTGGTGTAGAAAACCATCCCGTATATACACCCGGAATTCCTCACCTACAGTATTGTTGCTAATTTGATTCACCCAATTGATATGCAGATTAAAGTCATCCATAATTACAGATATTCCTTTATTGCATGCGATGTTAGGCCTTAATTTTTCAAGATCCTAAGTTATTCTCTTGCCCAAGTCCATGTAGCATAAGCATTTTGGGCAGTGCTTAATGCACTCCTCAGCATAATCCTTTCAGACTCTTACACTCTAATACAACATACATCAGCTCTGCAGTGTTGTGTCAGCCTTAATTTTTGCATTCAGGCAACTTTAAGACTCAGATGCAACATTCCTACTAATTGAACCATGGTTAACATTATAACAGCATGGGCTTATTGCTGATGACTGCAGCCAATGAACACCATGGGGAGTGCTGACTACATGTAGAAATCATAGGGAACAGATGATCCCAGTATCCGTTTGTCCATTTTTAGGTGTTTAACAATTTAAACCCCACCCACATCCACCACCCTCAATCCTGAATGCTGTCTATCAAGAAAATACTCTATGCTAATTTAGGCACAATACCAGAGACCTGCCAGTCTTGATATAACAATACTCAACAAGCAGTCTGTGCCTACTAAGAAAAAATAGCAAAGGGTGAAAAAGTTGCAATAACTGATTTACATTTTGAAAAGATAAAACTGCTGAGAAGTATGTAAATGCCATTTTAGGTAACATTGGTACTAATTAGTTTGTGAATGTTTGCATTATTGTACAAAAATAATGAAATATTTTCAATGAAATTTTGTAAGAAAACAAAGATTCTTAGGTTTCATTTGAGAGAGCAACACCTTCAACTCCCATTGCTCACTTACCAACAATCTCATCAATTAGGGCTCATTCCCAACTTTCGCATAGTTCACCACCTCCTCTCATACTTCAAACTAATGCTGAAAATGTTTTGTTTTATTTTTCTGGTGTCAGCCTCCATTTGTCCAATTTGGACACAATTGGGGCCGTTGATGCTGGAGAAGAGTTGGACATTGAAAGTCACACATCCACCTTTTGATTTTAACACCTATCTCCTCACAACTTCCACCTGTGGTCCCCTCAAAGAAAATTGCTTATGTTTTCACTGGTCACAGTCTCCATGGCTAACACAGTGTGGAGCTGGAGGAACACAGCAGGCCAGGCAGCATCAGAGGAGCAGGAACGCTGACGTTTCGGGTCGGGACCCTTTTTCTGAGGAAGGGTCCCAACCCGAAATGTCAGCTTTCCTGCTCCTCTGATGCTGCCCGGCCGGCTGTATTGCTCCAGATCCACACTGTGTTATCTTAATTAATCAAAGGATTGGATTCTGAGTCATACAGACCATCAGTCGAGACCTACTGTTGAGGAGACCTAACGGTAAAGAGATAAGTGATGCAAGTGGAAGAGGGCTGGAGGAGGTCAGAGGCAAGAGACCACTTGCCCCACCATCCATGCCTCTGATTGCCCCCAGATTTAGGTTAAATGTAGCCCTCTCACAACCATCCAGCCAGGCTGTCCTGGTTTCGAATTGGGAAACCAGCTAATTTTCTTTCCTGCCAGAAAGGCAGGTAATTGTGAAGGTGGCAAACTGAAGCCTTTAAGCTGCTGATAATTGACCACTTAAGGGTCTCAATTGCTGGCAGGTCTTGCCCAGAACTTAGTAAGGTGGTGCAAATTGGGTGAGTATTTCCCCAGAATTAAATTACCCAAATATTTCTGCTTGTTGGCACCTCAAGGGAATGGGGAATTCCACCCATGTGGTGTAACAACTTCGGAGGAGATTGTGGATAAATTTCTTTAAAGTGTAAAACTAAACCGTACCTTTATTGGGCTTGAAGTGTCTCAGCTCCTAATTCCATATGTAAATCTTTATTTTATTTTGTTGGCGAGGTATGAAAATTAACATTTAAGCTGCTTCTTCACTGACAGAAGGATGTCCATGTCAGATGGAAATTCGAAGCACAATATGTTGTTCCAGCCAGCAAGTTCAGAATAATGACAGAAGTATAAATGAGGCATCGTTGAATGGTATGTTTTGTGAAACAATATTGATTGACTTTTGAAGTGTAACATATTAAATATTTTGATACTTAAAAGGAGCACAAAATACATATGCATACTGTAGGACTTTTATTCACAATGATCTAGAAATGCCTATCCAGCTGAATGTTGTGGTATGGTATTTAACAGGGAGTTCAGCAAAAATGCAACTGGTTTAAAACTTAAACAGGCTGCATTGCATGTCATGCAACCTTGTATTTGTGGCTGTTATCTTCATTTTTGAGTTAAATAAATGGATTTTTCGTTATGGGCTGATGCAGTATTTAGCTATTTCATCAGTAGATCTGGTGGTTTGAGTCTGATATTGATAAATTTTCTTCCCTGCAGTTAATAAAAAAACTCAAAACAATAAAATGGTAGCTGCTGTATTTACAATATGTTACTTATGATACATTTTGCAGCAGAACAATGTACAACATCATGCAACGCCGAAAACTGCGTATTGATACAAGAAGAGCAGCACTTACAGAATGCTGATCCACAGCTGGCCAGGCACGTGCTGCTGTGCTTACTTCTCATTGTAGGCTTGTTTGCTGTAAGTCTGACATTTAACGTTACCATTACAGGAAAGCAATTCATTTTAATCAAATAACAGAAATGTTATTTTATCATCCGTAGTTTTATCTTCTACCTTTCTCAGATTCCCTCCCCTTCTTTCCTGAAAGTTGTTTCTTGTTGAACAATTTTCCAGACAGTGCTAACTTTCCAGTGGTGTTCCCAAGGTACCCATCACAGAATGTCTACAGTGTGGAAGCAGGCCATTTGGCCCATCAAGTCCACACTGACCCTCCTGAAGAGTGTCCCACCCACACTGCTATCCCATCCCTCTAACCCTGTATTTCCCATGTCTAATCCACCTAACCTACACACCTGGATACTATTGGCAATTTAGTATGGCCAGTCCACCTAACCTGCACATCTTTAGACTGTGGGAGGAAACCAGAGCACCCAGAGGAAACCCACACAGACATGGGGGAAAACATGCAAACTCCACATAAACAGTCGCCCGAGGGTCGAAATCGAAAACGGAGCCCGCCTGTAATTTTCTGTCTGTGCTGCCGCTATTTTAGTCATTGCCATTTTCATT